GTGTGTGTGTATGTATGTGAGTGTGTGTGTATGTATGTGAGTGTGTGTGTATGTATGTGTGTGTATGTGTATATGTGAGTGTGTGTGTATACATGTGTGTGTATGCATGTGTGTATGTACGTGTGTGTATGTGTGTGTGAGTGTGTGTAGGTCATATAACCAGAGGCTGGTCATAAAGCATATGTGACATTAAAATGAACATGAGGACGTGAGGGGTAGGAAAGAACAAGGGGTGGCAGGAGGTTGAGAAGAAAAAGCAGAAAGGTCGACAGAAAGAAAGTATGCTTTAAATCCCGCCATGGAACCTAATGCTATATGCTAAATTAAAATTTAAAATTTAAAATGGCATTTACTTAAACATTTAAAAGTTTTAATGATGTGTCCTAACTTGAGTTCTGGGAACTGAACTTGGGTCCTCTGGAAGAGCAACAAATGCTCTTAACCACTGACCCATCTCCATCCCACCTTTTTTTTTTTTTTTTTAAACGTTCACATTCTTTTATTTTTCTTTATTTATTTTATGTATAGTTTATGGCGTTCTATCTGCATATTGATCTGCACGCCAGAAGAGGGCCTCAGATCCCATTACAGATGGCTGTGAGCCTCCATGTGGCTGCTGGGAATTGAACTCAGGACCTCTGGAAGAGCTGCCGATGCCCTTCACCGCTGAGCCACCTCACCAGCTCCCCAGCCTACCTTCTACAAACTTGATTTAGCGGGTGTGGAGAACTATGAAGGGATAATCATTGGGCCATAATTTGTGAAAACCCAGGATACTAAAAAATCAACACTTTGTTTTAAACAAGACTTTTACTATGTTGTCCAGGTTAGCCTTGAACTCATGGAGATGGCTCCTGCCTCAACAACCTTTGTAATACTGAAATTAAAGATGTATTCCACTATGTATTCCAGCTAAAATCAATATATTTTGGATGGAATGTTGTAATTCACGCATTTTAGCCAGTAAATATGAGCAGGCATTTCAATAGTGGGAGGTCATCCCCCCTTTACCTGAAATGGGGAAAAGGCCCAGAGCATCTGTACAACACACCAAAGGATAAATCCTCCCGTGTCTGTGTACATGACTGCAGAAACCAGAGTATTATTACCATAGCTGAGGATGACCTGGAACTCCCAGTCCCCCAGACTCGACCTCCCAAGTGCTGGGAATGCATGTGCCACCATGTTTGGTTTATGCACCGCTGGGGATTGAGCCCAGGGCTTCCTTCCTTCTAGGCATGCACTCTACCAGCTGAGCTCCATCTCCAGACTAGACTCATTACTAAGAATCAATTCCTTTGAACATAGGGTCAGACTGTGTTAGTACATAAGCCGTGATAACACAACCAGCCTGGGAGAGTCCATTTGAGCTGGGCAAGAACAGTCAAAGAGGATCGCTCAACTGTTTCTGCCTGGGAAGATGCTGGTGGGAGGGAGCAGGGGTCATTAATTGCCTGTTAGCATCAAGCATGACGTCACTCCCCTCAGTAGATGTCTTCATTCATTGCATTTCTTCCCCTCCCTCGTCCATTCTAGCTTTGGGTAATCCACTTGTGATTTGCTAAGATGGTGTGGTTTCAAGTTCCAGAAACTAAATCTGTAATGGTTTTGAATGAAAAGGGAATTTACTGGAAGGAGGCCCTGCCAGGCAGGGCCTGTTGACAATCGTGGGTCTTTTCTTCAGCAGGATGTTCTTAGTGTCACTTGGGTTTGCCAGGGCATTTATTTCTGTCTCTCTTCAGAAGGACAGTTTCCTGTGCATTCTTGAGTTACTTGTGTGCCGTGTGCTGGCGGTCATGGCAGGGGACACCATGGTTGGGAGGATGGAGGAGTCCTTGAGTGTTCTACTTTACTCTTTCTCGGGAACACCAGTCGTGCGCATGCGCATGAGATTTGGCTCTCCTTTTTTTTTAGCCAACTCTCAAATCACCTGTCCTTCTGGCTTTGAATGCCCCGCCCCCCGCCTTGGGTACCCGCTTCCTATACCTGTAGACACCCACTTTACAGGGCCAGCTTTTCCTTCCTTGCTCCCTGCGTTGGCCACAGAGCGCATCTCCTTTAGTGTGACTGAGGATACACAGTGAGGTCAAATGCCCACTACTCAGGGAACTGCCAAGTCTAGGGGAAGAGGTCCTGGTTCTGGCTGGAGCCTTTGTTTTGGACCCGAGGAAGGATAGGAGGGAAGGCCTCCTGGGTAGCTAAGCCACTCAGAGGCACAGGTAGGGGGGGTGCAGGCAGCTAGTAGGTCAGCTCTGTGGAGTAAGCAGAGGTTGTTATGGGGGCTGAGCTCCAGGTTCCAGGGGTTTCTCTGTCTTCCTGGGTAACAGGGCTCCCCTAAAACTCAGTGGGTGAAAAGTGGGAGGGACCATGAGGCCCAGCTGCAGGCAGAGGTTGGAGTCTCTGGCTCCCCTTGCCCAGTCTGTACTGGAAACAAAACAGCGTTTCCCTGTGCATGGTGTCTGTCCTGAGAGTGGCTTCTTTTCACACTCTCACCTTTCTGACTCGGGCTCCTCCGAGAATACCCAGAATACTGTTATTATTCATTTACTTCTTTATCTGAGATGGGCTCTTTCTCTGTTGTCCAGGCCTGGCCTTGACTTTCTGGACTCAAGTGATCCTCCCGCCTCACCTTCCCAAGTAACTGAGGCTACAGGTACACAGATGCATTAGGCCAAGCTGATTTTAGACATTCTCTCTCTCTAGACAGAACTTGCAATCACTGTAGCAAGTCTGAGTGCAAAGGAACCCGGCTAAGTCATTCAATGTCACACTTAGATACTGCAGTCAACTGCTGTTGTCTCACTCTGCAACCTCTTCCCTGACAGTGTGACTGCACCTAATGCATGATTATGCATCCCACCCCCTAAGTGCTTTATTCCAGGATCACAATACATGTTCTTCTGCAGCCTTACGACAGGTCCCACCTGTGGCATCTAGTTGCATCTCTGTTCTTCCCACCCGGAAGTGCTCTTTCCTACCTCTGTCTTACTGATGTCCTGTCTGAACCACTGGGGTCCTCTCTCAGGCTGGGTCTGGCCACATACCCAGCTCTGCTTACCTTCAGGTTTTGCTTGTGTTCACTAGGAGCAGGACTTCTTCTGTGCCCATCCATGCCCAATGCAGTCATCCCTCCCGAGTTCTTCATCCCCAGTTGAGTTAGTGACTGCTCATGATTCCCATCACCCTTGGGCTCAAAAGTTCATTCCTTCCCCTGTTGTGAGATCCATGGAGCATGTTGCCTCAACTTTCCTCACGAATGCTCTGCTCTGGTTCCTGAGTTCTCACTTCAGCCTCCTCATGTCCTTCCTGCCACCACTGTCAGGGTCTCCCTCCCCCCTTCCCAGGGCCTCGCTCCAGCCTCCACAGTAGGCTTCCTGCATCCCTGTCAGGACCTCACTCTCTTCCCTACCCTGCACTTCTCTCCATGTAGGTGGTGGTCCCCTCAGCCTGAGGGTCCTCTCTCTCTTTGGTACTCAGATTTAGCTTCCTGCCTGCTAGAGTAGACTATGGGTGTCAGCCTGGCATCAGTTCTCTCCAGAAATGCCATTCTAAGTCCTGTGTCTGTTTTCTGTGTTGAAACAGGTCACTATATATGATTTTTTTGTTGTTAACTTTTCTCCACAGATGACAGGGAGTTTAACTGAATCAACTGTTGGTGGCTGCTTTCCCAGAATCTCAGACGGGGCGGTCAAGGAGGCCGGAGTGTGAGGCGGCAGCTGGTCACATTGCACGGCCAGTCAGGATGCAGGGAGATGAGTGTCATGTTACTGGCCGCTAGCTTTCTCTATTTTGTGTGGTACTTGATCTCCACCCATCGTCCCTGATGGACTGTACCATGACTGCACGCCAGAACAAACCCTTTACATTCTTGTTCCTTTGTCAGAGTGTTTTATCACAACAGGAAAAGTAACCCAGATAATCATAAGGGAGACACATTTCTGGCATTTGCCCCCAAGGAGCTTGAACTCTCAGGTACTCTTTTAACTGGGCCTCTTATGCAATAATCGTCTCAGGAAGGGGTGGAGTCAGCTAAGCCACGCCCCTTGAGGGCCCTGCATAATTACTTTATTAGCTCCCATCTCTGATCTTTGAGGGTTATGGATGGAGCAGGCAGAGATGGCTGGAGTCTGGTCTCATCACATAATTCATTAGTTCCACCTCCACTTTTCTCTAACATTCAGAATTATAGTCTAGGTAAAATGGAAACAGGAGATGGTGTGTAGAGAGGAGACGGTGTGCAGAGGTCTTCACCTGTTTGTCTGACTGCACATCCCACTAAAGGAAGATTTCAAAAACGTTCAGACCCTGCCCCAGACTGGCTGACTCATAACTTGTATTCACTGGGGAAAAAAAAAAAAGGACTGCTTTAAAAAGTACTTTCAGTGGGGCTGGAGAAATGGCTCAGTGGTTAAGAGTACTGGCTACTCTTCCAGAGGACTCAGGTTCAATTCCCAGCACCTACATGCTAGTTTATAATCATCTGTAACTTCAGTCCTGGGGAATCCAAATCCCTATTCTTGGCCTCCAAAGGCACAGGCATATACACAGTGCACAGATATACACATAAAAATAAATAAGGTACTTTTGGGGTGCTCTGGGGTATGTTATTTTCAGCACCCGAGTCAACCAACCAACAAGAGCTCCTTTCGGAGTATCTCACCTCAGCCGGGAAGCAGGACTGTTAACAAATGTTCAGGAGCTGTTGGCGAGGGCGGCAACCTCAGCTGCTTGCTCACTGCTGTGTTCTAGGTCACCACAACGGGTCCAACACGCAGCACACACTACACAAGTATCTGTTGACTAACTCAGTGGCAGAGCATACACTTCAGCTGTGCTCTCCGCGTGATGCAGACACACCCTACTCTCTAGTGTGCAGCTTCCTCCAGCACACAGTGGGAGATCGGCACAGTTCACAGGCTAGGTTTTTGTATAGATGTTCCTTCATTTTGAAAAGAGTAGATGGTGCTTTATGGCTTTTTTAAAGCAACTGAAAACAATGATGTTTTTAAAAAAGATTTTTAATGAATAATCTACAATAGGTAAATAAAACCACAAAAGAAAAAAACCCCTATTTTCATTTCTCCCTCCCCCCATTAAAAATGAGCCAATTTGTATCGGAGGGGGGAGAACAAGGGAATCCGTGACCGATATGTAGAACTGAATTGTATTGCAAAATAAATTAAAATAAATTAAAAAAAAAATGATTTTCCAAATAGTTGACAATTCAAATAACGAGGAAATTAAGACCTTTATTATGAGGTGAATGGTGGAAAAAGTGAGTGTCTGTCTTCAGAAATATGACATCTTGACGAAATACATTCAGTTCAAAACTGTATAATTGAATTGGATATATGAGTATCCATTTTGTGTTTTATTGTAAAGAAAACAAACTACCAATGTAATAGAGGTTGTGTGAAGTGTTCCATGTTCAAATAATGCCATTTATGAGGTCTGATATGGCTACAAAATTGTTGGTAGTACATTTTTTTGAGGTTTTTAGGCATTTTTGTTTGTTAAAGTCATTGGTTGTTTTTGAAAAAACTGCAGTAGATGTATTTCAGACTTCAGATTGCTGTGACCAACACTCTGCTGCTCTTTGATATTCAAAGGGTGTTTCATGAATGTTATTACAAACAAGTTAGTGGAAATGCAATATGATTAATATATAAAGTTGATGTAAATAAAATTATGTTTTTATATTTAAAAAAAAAAAAAATGAGCCAATGGTTTCTAAGACTGCCGTTAAAGTCTTCCTGGTGACAAGTGTGAAGCTTGGTCTTGGAAAAAGACGGAGCCCTGTAAGACACAGATAAACAACATACGGATTAATGAAGGATGGCCATTTGTGGAAGAAAGCTAAAAGAGTAGGCAGGTCATGTGATTTCCCCTGAGTTCCACTTCCCAGAAACTGGCGTCCAGCCAAGAGTTTAGTGAAAGGAGACCAGGGGATACACTCAGCAGAAAGGAGCACACAATCCTTCTTTGTCCAAATATTAAATGAACGTTAGCACAGTAGACTAAACTGCTGTGGTGACGTGTGCCTGTACACCCAGGGGCTGGGAGACTGAGGCATGAGCCTCATGAGGTCTAGGTGGACTGGGGCTATGTAACAAGTCCCTTCTTGAAAATCTAAATCTGGAAACCAAAAGGTAATGACTTATATTTTATGGATGACTAATAATGAAGCAATTCTGACGAGGTAATGAATGGATCTTCTAAAATTATTCTATACTTTAAGATAGTTCATACTAACGTTCTATGCATTGTGGCTTTGTTGGGAATAATTACAGCAGGTACACACAAGAAGTGAAAAAGTGTTAGAAATAAAAATTTTATGTATTGATGAGTCCTTTATATAATTTGCAAATTTTGAGTTTTTTCCGTAGAGGAAATAAAGTTGGTTTCTCTGCCTGCCGGCCGGCCTGCCTGCCTATCTGAAGTAGGTGAGTAGGTAAGCCAATTCAGGTAAATCTTGTTGCCTTCCTTTATTAATTAAAAATAGATATCTGAGACTTAAGGAGGTGTGCAATGAGGGGCGGGGATAGCTCAGTGAATCAAGTGCCCGTTGTGCCAATGTGAGGACTTAGGCCTAGGGGGTCTACCTAGGCAGCAGTTCTTATGATAAGAATTAGCATTTTCTAGCCATGCACAATGTACTAGAATGGTCTGCACAACCTATCAGAGATAATATTGCCATATTCCTAGACTTTGTGCAGATGAAGCTGTAGTGTTTTATGACTTCATTGTCTGGATAATGTAGGCCAGCGCTGTGACACTGGTGGACGCCATGTTTGCACTCTGGTGTTGGATTCTTATGATGTAACTGCCCATCGCAGCATGGAGGTTGCCTGTCCTGCATCTCTGGGCTCATAAATGCTTTTAATGTAGTTCTCATGTGCTCATCTGTCAGATCTTAAATCTTAAAGTACTGTTTGTTCTTGTAGAGCCTCAGTTACCTTCATTTCTGTCTGAAACCTCAGGCTATGAATGTTTCATTCAGTTTTCAAAACCAGTGTAAATGAATGTTCCATTCAAGCTTCAAAAACAGCATAACCAGATGTAGTTCTACAAAGACAAATAATAAAATCTCATAAATATCATAAATGAACTCAATTCAGCATTGTACAAAATGCTCTGAGTTCCCATCACACAGGGAAGTGTCTAAACATCTATGGAACCTTCCTGAAGGCGTCAGTGTAAAGGATAAGAAGCCACACTTTGTTTCTCCCATGGATTACAATGGCTTCTGTTATAAAACTAAAGGACCTGTCTGATGCCAAGTGTTAAAATTGGCTTGGTAAGGTGGCAGCCTGGTGGCGCTGTCTGTGGCTGTTTGTCCTTTCATGTTCCATTTAGAGAAGATAAATGATTGTGAAACACAGAACAAAACAACAGATGTCAGTAAGAACTTCACTTTCATCGCTGGCTAACAGTACACTTTGCGCTCTATAGTACAATCATATTATCGGACAGACTGGACTTGAGAAGGGGGCTGGCAGCAAGTGTCTGGAGAGCTGCTTCCTCTTTCCTCTTAGATGAAGTGCTGGACAGAGTCTGGGTATTTAAAAATAATGGTAAAACACATCATGCATACATGCATGCATGTATGCATACATACATACATACATACATACCCTCCCCCAGTCTGGCTGGAAACTCCCTGCTTCTCCATCAGCTAGCTGCAGGCAGGATGCTGTCTGCTTCTCTTCCCACCTTGCTGTAGATGCCTGTTGTTTCTGATCTCTCAGAAGCTAGTGGGCAGAGGCAGGGAGAATCTGCCATCAAGGGCCTCTAGGTGAGGTGATGGGTGTACAGCCTTGCTGCTTCCTCTCAAAGAGAACATTTGGAAGCTCCTGCCTTGTACTGCCCCCTCCTGTGGGAAGGCACTGTCAGCCTGGAGCCACAGAGAAGGCAGGACAGGGTAAGGCTTGCTTGGCAGTTGCCAGTGTTCTGGTGGCAGCTGGCTGAGGTTCTTTTGAAGCCGTACACTGATAGAAAGAACTCGGCTGACACTAGTGGTTGGGAACCTCGCCCCTTTGGCTACCACTGCTGGCCACTTGGTGCTCTGCCAGCTCTGCCACAGTGCCCATGAGAGACGGCCAAAGCCAGCAGGGACCATGGGAAACAGGAGGTAGCCTTGTGGGGCGAAGCAGCGGAGGTCCTGCTGTGGGATACCCTGAGTGTGGCTAGTCACTTCTTACCTAGTATATAAATGCATTACTTATTGTTGGGCATAACTTTTAGCTTTGCAATAAACCTGTTCAAGGGCAGTGAACTCCAACTGTGGGAGATCAGGTCTGACTCCTGAGCAGCGCCCTCGAAGCCTCTCCTGCCTGGACACGGTACAACACACAGTGCCTTCTACACAGGCCACACCCTGCTCTTCTCCTCTCCTGCTGCCGCGGGAAGCCAGTACTTTCTTATAGGACAGGCAGCACAAGGCACACAGCCACATGATGCTTGGCCTCTGGAGCCCTGCTTCCCTTGGGAAGGAGTCCCATCTAAACACCTGGAGACATGACTATCATAGGGTGGAGAACCCAGTAGCGGTATGCAAACACCCTTATAGCACTGAGCAACTTGGTTCATTCCAGCCAGGGGACTCAAGGGAGGCATGACTTAATGGAAAATTATCTTTGAAGAATTTTAAGATGTGGGTAATCTCTAAAATAAATTGTTAGTAGTAATAGTTTTAGTGTTGAGTCAAGGTCTCATGTAGCCCAGGGCTAGCCTTGAACTCACTAAATCAATGAGGATGACCTTGAACTTCTGATCCTCCACTGCATCCACTTTATCCAGTGTGGGGAATGAAACCCAGGACCTAAGGCCTGCTAGGCAAGCACTCAGCTAACTGAGCCACATCCCCAGCCCCTGAAACAATGTGTTAGTGACTTGTCTCAAAAACAAGTGGAGAACAGATTCGGGGAGAATCAGAGTCATGGGAAAGACTTGAAAACCAGGCTGACACAACAGAATTCTAAGAATTGTAAGTTCTATGAAACAAAAAAGTGAATGAACGGTCCTTTGAGCAGCCGTCATCTGCAAGCTAAGAATGGGGCTTGGGAAATGAAGTAAGCCAGAAGCCCATGTTATCTGCAGTCAAGTGGCTAGAACAGCACAGAAAACAAATGATAGAGTTTGATAGGATCCAAGTCTGACCGCACTAAGGACGACACTGATTGGCTAATCCCCCTCTCATTTATTCATTCAACAAATACTGTAGATCCCTGTTAGGTGGATACTGAGAATGTAAACACAGTGTATCTTGGTCCTCAAGGGCCTCACAGGTTAGTGAAACTAGTAAAAAACTGGCAGATAAATGCTGGTAACTGTGGAACATAGCTGAGACTGCCTCCCTGCTTGGGAGGGCACTGCAGGCCCTGAAACGGAGCAGGCCACACTCATCCTGTCAAGATGCCATCCAAGAGTGCTCTGTGGCGGCCCATTCTCAGGGTCTCTGAGATGCCAGCTGTATTCAGCTTCAGGGGGCACAGGATAGTGTCCACTAAGTGGAGAATGGCCATTGTTTCTTATGATTCTACACGGTCATCCCTTGGGCCCAGTGTGACCAAGCAACCTCCTTTGTAATGGCAGAATATTCTGGTGGAATATAGAAGACCCCTCCATTCTACAAGTGGTTTCATTCTTAGTTCTGTCTAACTGAGTTGACCATAATGATACCATTCTCAGCTGGGCTTAACCAATGGCTTGTAAGACTTTCTAAGTCACTGATGTCGAGTGGGTTGGACTGATCATGGTGGTTCTAAATGACAAGGCCACTTTGGACTCAGGGCCAGTCATGGGTGTGTCTGCCCTGCTGTGTTGGATAGGGTCAATATCAGTGGCGGTGAAGAAAAATCCAGAAAGAAGGAAGAAGGCTGGATGCTGCCCTACAACATCCTGGACAGGCCTGACTACACCATTTGAGGAGTTCAGTGCCAAATGAAAACATAGAGCTCTTATTTAAAGATTAAGAATTTTAAGACCATGACACAAAATATCAAGTCTTGTTGGGAACCCTTATGAGGACTGGGTTCTGTGTGGTTCGGAAAGTCACATACCTAGGAGGTTAGCTCTCTGAGCTGTGAGGGAATAAACTAAACTAAGTGGCCATTGTGGACAACCATTAATAGGAAACAAAATATGAAACAGGACATGTGATAAAGGCCTGGACAGCTGCAAGTCATGGAGCTGGACCCACAGGTAACAGTTGACTGATGTAACAGGACGTGTGACCCATGGTCTGCCCTGTAATACTGTTTCAGAGCTATGAACGGCCTAGATGATGGGGCATCTAGGAATGGGGAACACTTTGGATTTGGGGTGAATGATGAGGTCAGAGTCAACTTATCCAGTACTCATCTCCTGCAGGTCGGCCTTCCAGAGACGCAACTGGCCTGGTGGCATGTGATCATTAGGATATAGCCTCTGCACCACAGATGCTGGCTGTAGCCAAGGGCTAAGACAGTGACGTAAGCCCTGGCAGAATTCATTGGAAGTCACTGACCCACCCATGTTATACAGCTATAGCAATAAGGCTTGTTGTCCCAAGAACTGACTGTGCCAAAGAAGGCACAGTACTTCTATCTGCAGTAGGCCATGTCCACTGAAGGGTGCAGGACCAATGTCCCTCTCCTGGAATTAAAAAGGCCAGCTCTGCTTCGTCACCATCAGTCACCGACTGTGAACAGTGAGGAGACTGTCCTGGAATCCACTTTTTTCTTCCTGAGTTCCCCTCCTTCCATAAGCAATGTGTGGGCTGCCGGATGCTGGGGCCCTAGGAAGGCCTCACAGAG